AATGGATTGTGAGCCATTGCAATATATGTAGATATTTTCCTTAATTGCTGGTGGCCTTGGTCTGTAAATAGGAATAGTCGGTCTCTGGCATAGGAACATAGTGTTATGGAAGCAATATTAAAGTTGTCAGGGAACCAGCTGAATATAGTCTTAAATCAGCTTGTTATTTGAAGGAGATACTTACTGAATGTAGGTCTACAGCCCTTTCATGCTACTGTGTTTTGATACCATATTTGTATCAGAGCACAGATTCAAGGAAATTTCCATCTGCTAATAGAATCTATCCCAACATAGCTGGGATCAATTGTGCTGTGCTGTGATTTACTCCTGGCAGTTGATCCCACTCCTTAATAAAGCTTTTCCTGAGAGAACCAGTTTGGTGTAGTGGTTAAGGTACTAGGCTAGAAAGCGAGCGACTGTGAGTTCTAGCCCTATCTCAGGCATGAAAACCAGCTAGATGTCTTTGGGCCAGTCACTCCCTCTCAACCAAATTCATCTCACAGGGTTGTTGTGAGAAAAAATAAAAAGCAGGAATATTAGGTGTATTTGCAGCCTTGATTTGGGGAAACTAGAAAGAGAATATAATATTAGGTAGGCTACTACCTTGTTATTTATCAAAATAATAAAGGTAATAAATAAATAAATAAATAAAAGCCTTTTTCTGGGTGACATATTAATTTAATATGCATGATTTTTTAATTACTGTTTGCAGAGTTCACCTAAAATTAACAGCTAAGTAATTTCTCCTTGCCAGCAGTCTATTATTTGACTGTAACATAACACTTTAAATTATGAATATCACTTGGCTTGGGACCCATTTTTTTTCAGTGGCTTTATGTTTCTTTTTTTTTAACTTGAGCAACTATTGTGTTTAGTTATCTATTACATTAATCAATGTCTGCGATAAAGAAGAACAAATAGACGTGTAAGAAAGATATATTGTCGCCAGCAAAATTTTCCTTTATGCAGTTTGTCCTTCAGCAGCTTGCTATTTTTCGCCAAGGGGATGTGAGGGCAACAATAGCTGAATGCAAAGCAATTGGCATAGATGCCCTACATTGGTGACACTCCCTCCCTCCCTCTCGTTTGCTTCTTAAGTTCAGAAATACCTTCTCCATGCTTTTTATCTTAGGGAGGGAGGTCTGAATTTTAGGATATGGATCACACACTATCAATGATTATATAGGCTGAGTCCTATTGAGAAAGTCAGGTTTTTAGTTTGATAGAAAAGTACCCCAATGTTTTTGACAACTTGCTGAGCAAAATAGTCAAGTTGAATTATTTTGAGTTACATCTTTGTATTTGTCTTGATTTATTAAAAAAGAAACTAAGGAAACGTTTCCAACTAGAAAGCAAAATATTAATTGCTTTTTTGTGGCTTTTATATTGGGTTTTTATCTTTGTAAGCTGCCTAAGAGTAAGTTGGGTGGCTGTATTTTTTTTAAAATAAATAAATAACAATAGAGGGCAAAATAAATTAAACTTTCTTTTTACAGGTATCAATCATGGGCCTGTAATTGCTGGAGTCATTGGAGCTCAGAAACCACAATATGACATCTGGGGCAACACTGTGAATGTGGCCAGCAGGATGGATAGTACTGGCATTCTAGATAAAATACAGGTTATTTTTTTATTCTTGCTAATAGCCAACAAATCTTATGTAGAATCTGATTCTCTATATTGTTAACTATTTGGAAGAGGTAGCATTTCAAAAGTTAATTTATAAAGGAGAAAAATAGCAACAGTTACCAAAAAAGTTTTGTGCACATGTTCTACATGTTCTGTCTTCATTTCTGATCATCCTTTTCTCTCTTCATCCTTCCTATCTTCAAGAAGAAACCCAACTAGTCTCATTGGAGTTGTTAACTTCAAATTTGCTTTAATTTTTTAAAAAGTTAATACAATAAAAAACTTTTATCCACCACAGAATATTAGCACTATCCTAGATGATTCTGCAGTAAATTCTGAGTTCTACTTAGAAGCCATCCACCAAACTTCTTGGTGTTCCAGGTTTAGCCAAGTGAAATCCCATTGATTTCATTGGATTTCTAAATATTACTAATTGCTAATATGTCCCAATATATATTTTTTCATGTTTTGTCTGTTAAGATAATCAGGAAAGACTCTGAATGAGATTCTCATCTTTAAAGATGGCAAGGTTATACTGAAAACCTTCCCCATAGTTATATTTGTTGATCTATACTCACAGCAAATAGTTCAGGTCATAGAAGAAAAAGATTTCTAGGCTTTCTTAAAAATGTCTGAATGTGTTTATTTAAATAATTTTTGCAGGTCACGGAAGAAACCAGTAACATCCTACAAACATTGGGCTATATTTGCACCTGCCGAGGTATCATAAACGTCAAAGGAAAAGGAGAGCTTCAGACTTACTTTGTACATACTGAAATGACTAAGTCCCTTTCCCAAGGGAATGTGGCATCATGAAAGATATCAAGGGTAGACATCTCATATTTTTAGAGACAAAGCACCCCACACTTTTTTCTTAAATCTCCTCTAGCCCACACCATGAACAACATGTGTGTACTTTTCTGGTGTATAGAAATGTTGCTGTAGTAGTGTCTACAGTCTCGTCCCATCATTTACCATCAAGAGACCTCGGTAGTTGCCAGATTCCAGAAATGGCTAAAGTGAGTGCTGTGCACTGAGATAATGACGGCTTGATTTGTATTCTTGACTCTTCAGTGGTAAAGAATCGAGGGAAATAACCTGAGTTGGAAAAATTAATGGCCTTATGCAGAAGGAGGCTATGAAGAAGATAATTGAAAATTTTTTACAGAAAAGCACTTTATGGCAATAAAATTAGAGCTGCATGAAACATCATGAAAATATATGGTAGCTCCATATAACATCCTCTAATCCTGAATTATATAATTCTGAATATCTAATTCTATCCCTTCATCATTACAACTAGGGTGTGTTCACTAGTTGTGTCTCACAGCCAACAACATAAAATAGAGCTTCAGGCTTGATAGTTTCCCCAGAGAAATTCATAGATAAGCAGGACCAGTTTTGTATAAAATGTGTTAAAATGTTTTGATGCCCTTGTCTTTTGTAATATAAATTCATTAAAGGTTTCTATGTACTTTATTTGCAATTGTGAGTTTATTACACCTGTAACATGTCATCAGTGAGCTTTCTGGCACAAAGGCAAAAACAAAAACCCAAACTCTTCTGCCCAAAGTTTATGATTTAAATATCTTCAAAGTCAAATGTGATAAGGCCATAGAAGCAAGGATAAATATTAGCAAAGTAATAATTCATATTTTATTGTATATTATAGCTGTTTTGTATGTATGAATTCTCCTTAATGCAGGGGTGTCAAACTGGCGGCCTGCAGGCCGGATGTGTCACACGCAGGCCATGCCCACCCAAGCTCCGCGAAGACAAAAACGTTGCGATATGTCACGTGACATCTATGTGACATGGCGAGTGACACCAGTGCCTTAGTACTACTTAACACAATGTTGCCATTAAAAGTATGAAAAATGAGAGGCAGTCAGAAACTTCTCCCTAACTTTGTTGTGGATATAGAAAGTAGAGCAATTACTGTAGCAGTTTACCTACTCATCACTAATATCCCGCTAGTGATCATAAAAAGAAAAAGCTGAACCTGCAAAGAGGAAGTCTGAATTAATGCCAAGTTTATAATAGCTTATTTATCCTAGATAGGCAAATGCTGAAAGTATTATTTATGCAAAATTATTGCTATAAAGATCTAAAAAGAATCGGAGAACATGGAAGACGATGCACTACAATAATTTATTATACTACATAGTGTACTATAAAATATAAACAAAAAATACCATTCAATTCCTGATAAAAATTTAATCATAAGGAAAGTGAAATGATAAAAAGTATCATCATGTAAAATACAGAAGTTATGGCCTTGTTTCAGATAGCAGGACACAAATATATAATGGTAATATTTACTATGTGATGTCATTGTACATAGGTCATCATTTTGGGTTTGCCTAAAGGAAGCTGCAGACACTGTTCTTTAGTGATAAACATCAGTTTGCTTTCTCAGAAGGCTGCTCAATATTGTACAACATTTACAAAACCCACTGTTAAAAAAAAGTCAGCTTTAAATGCTGAATAACTTAATGCGGGGTAAGGAAGTCTATTTACCATTTTGCCATAATTTAATCTGCTTTTACTGTTAGATGTTGGAATCAGAAACCTGGCAGAATAATGGTATTTCTCAATCATAAAAGCCTGTTTGGCTTGCACTTTTGTGGTTTCATCAGGCAACGTTGTTACCTTTTCACTCTAATCTTTGCAGCAGTTATGTCTATATAGTATGGTGCGTCATCTAAAATGAAAAATTATCAAATAGCGCCGTGTCCTAGAATACCAAAATATTGGGTTACATGATTCTTTCTTGTCAGTGCTTTTATTAACAGCTACTAATGAGACACATTCGATGAGGCTCCTATTAGTCTGTTTGCATGCAGGTATCAGTAACCGCTCTCCTGACATTAAATGCTTCTGAACTCATTGTTCAAGGACCTTTTGTCTGTCTTCCAGTTGAAAAGTAACTATTTCCCCCTTTAGCTTTGATATCAACACCTCCACTTAGATTCGGTGATATCTATCTAGCGCTTACAGAGGCGTCTCATGTTGCAAGAAACATATATTCCATATCCAGAAGACACTGTGTGATGAAATGATTCAGAATCATAGCCTCACCTCTTTGTATCTGTCTACTATTCCTGTATTTCTCAGAAAAAAATCCCTGCTAACACTTCACTTGTGAAATAGATTTAACATAGCAGTGAGTGAGAGCAGCCTGGGCTTTGTTTTGCCCAGCCACAGCTTTTCTCAAACTTCCAACCCCCTTATAAGTGATTTGACATCATAGTTTATTCAGATGGTCTCTTAGTAACCAAAGAACTCTGCAAACACACTAGCTGGAGCTGGGTGGGAAATGCAAAGCAATCTAGCCTGCCACTCAGCCAAACACTGGCCTTCACAGGGGAATGCAAGAAGCCCAGAATGGGAAAGAACCGGAGGAAGAGGAAGAGTTGGAGGGACTGGAAGATGTCAACAAGGCACTAATAAGGAAACACCAGCTTCCACTCTCGGCACAGTCAGCCTTCAGCTACATCCCGCCTCGACGCAAGGACCCTCCTGAGCTTAGTTATTTTTACCAGGAGAGAAAGGTATGTCCAGAAATTTTGTGCGATAATTGGGAGGAGGGGTCAAAGCATCCAAGACAGGTGTTGTGATGGAAACCCCTATTAAAAGGCTCTGGGAATGAAGCATCGCTCAATCTTTCAGCCCCAGATAGCAAATTGCAATGCAGGTAGTCCTCAACCTACAACCACAGTTGAGGCCAAAATTTATGTTGCTGAGACATTTAAGTGGATTTTGCCCCACTCTACAACTTTTTCTTGTCACGGTTGCTAAGCGAATCGAAGTCGTTAAGTGAAACTGGCTTCCCCACTGATTTTGCTTGTCAGAAGGTCACAAAAGGTGATCATATGACCCTGGGGCCAGGGATGGGATTCTCCCAGTTCGGACCAGTTCAGGCGAACCCTTTGTTCCAATGATTAGCTGGCTCTGAACCAGTTCGCTGTGACGAGCATGTGGGCCCACCTGCCCGCCCCTGCTCTTTCCGGTGCTTTATTTCCTTTGTTTAGAGCAGGGGGTCTCCAACCTTGGCCACTTTAAGACTTGTGGACTTCACAAAGGCTGTAGTTGAAGGTAAGCATGAGCTTTTTCTATATGCAGAGCGCGTGCATGGAGCGCGCGATCACCGAACCAGTTGTTATACCGGTGGAATCCCACCCCTACTTGGGACACCACAACCATCATAAATATGAATCGTTTGCCAAGCATCTGAATTTTGATCGCATGACCATGGGGATGTTGCATTGGTCATGTGCAAAACAATCCTAAGTCATTTTTTTCAGTGTCATTGTAACTTTGAAGGGTCACCAAATGAATTGTTGTAAGTCAAGGACTAAACTATATGCAATTTTTGAAACATGTAGTCTATGGAGCTTACAATAGCAACAGCACTTAGAGTTGTACACCGCTTTTGTCAGCTGGTGCTCCATTCAAAATCCAAGAAAGAAATACTTAAGACTCCATTAATTAGAGAAAAGATATCTTTTACTGGAAATCAAGTGGTAGCATCAAAAGAATTCTGAATCTGAGAAAATGAGCGCGTAAATCACATATACAAAGTGATGGCAACGTTCCCACCCACAACAGTTCAAACTGTCCATCCAATAAAAAGTTGTATATAATGTCATGTGGGCATCTTCAGGTGGTGATGAGGCCTCTGTCCATTGACCTTGACATATTTTGATAAAGAGTTG